AATGTGTACTTTGGAATTTTGAGAAAGGATCATGTTATGTAAGATGGTCATCAGACTTGTGATTCTGCCTCAGACTCCTTACATTGGGAATTTTAGGTATGTACCTCCATGCCTAGCTTCTATTAATTTCTGATTCATTGGAAGTATTCAGAAAATTGGATTCTTTTAAGCCATAGTTTGCTGAGAAAGTAGTAACACTTTGACTATTCTGGGTATTTACTTGTAGGACAAATATGCTTTTAGATCAATCTGTGTATTGCAGATAGAGTAATACTAATAAGCACATGTAATATGAATCATTACTGTATCGGTAAATGAAGTTTTCATGTGTTTGGAAAAAATGCTTATCTTATTGAAAAAGAACCCTATGTTTTAAGTGCTTCTTACAAGTATAATTGGTTTTCTTTCTTTTCTTTTTGTACTCGTGGGGGTTGAGAGGAAATCAAGTGTACAGTCTTGTACATGTTAGGACAGAATTCCTCCATTGAGATATGTTCCCAAACTAGAAGTCTATCTTTATGACAAACTTTATTTCTTGTGAAATTGATTCAAAAACTTTTTCCTTTACTTAAGATTAATATCGTAAAATAAAAAACTGTAGAGATACTTTAGAAAACTTTAGATACTCAATTTTCTTTTCTTTTTTTTTCTATTTAAGAAAGGTTTTACTAATGTGTTAATATTTTGGCAACATTATTGCAACAAGTTTAAAAGGCAGACAGACCAGTATAGGCTTTAAAGGAACAAATGAGGGTTATACAGTTAAATTATTACACAGATTTAAGGGGTTTGCTGAATAACTACAAGGCCCAGAAAACAAATCTGAAAGATTAAATCCAGTATTAGCACCTACAATATCTCTAAGTTCAACTTGCAACTGCTTCGTTCATTCCTTAAAACTCAAGGTCTTTTGTTTCATCTGCCATGAAAATGACGGACTTACCATATTTATGTTCAGTAGTTAATCTATCTTGTAGTTATTTCCTGTATGGTAGACCTAATATAAAACCAGAAAATGTCTTAAGACAGCTTTCTTTCTTAATCTTTTACGTTTTTTTAAAGTTTAATGCATTCAAGATCTGAAAGAAGGTGGCTGGGTAAAGTACCTAATTAACGCCTTTAATCTCAGCACTTAGGAGGCAGAGGCAGGTGGATCTCTGTGAGTTTGAGGCCAGTCTGGTCTACAGAGTGAGTTCCAGGACAGCCAGGGCTACACAGAGATACTCTTGTCTCAAACAAAACAAAACAAAACAAAACACAAAACAAAACACAGTACAACACAGTACAACACAACCAACCAAAAGAACTCCTAGGAGCTGGGCTGGGTGAGAACATTCTGCAAGTAAGAGCAATCGGTGTATAAGTGAGAGGACCTAGGCTGAAATCTCTGCAGCTCCTGAAAGAAGCCGGCTGTGGTCACATGTGTCTATAGTCCCAATGCTGGAGGGACTTGGTGACAGGGGAACCATTAGGGTTTGCTAGCTGCCACCCTAGCTTCACATTCAGTGAGAGGACCAGTCTCAAGGGAAGAAGGCAGAAAATGATAAAGCAGGACAACCAGTATTGGCCTTTGGCCTCTGTATATATACATGCAAACATGAACATACACCATACACATGTACTGTGCTCACTGGGTGTGGCTGCACACACACTTGTAATCCAGCATTTAGGAGACTAGGAAAGAAGATCACTAGTTCAAGACCAGCCTTGGCTACATAGTTAGTTTGGGCCAGCCTCAGGGTACGCAGGACCCCCTGCCCCCTTCCTGTTGTTCAAGTGTTCTCTCTCACTTGCTCACTCTCACACAGATGCTTGGAAGCAAGAGGGATGTAAAGAGGATGCTTAAAAGGAACTATTTGTTCATGTTAAGAGTTCTATGGAGATTGCGTTGTATATATGAGTTACCCATTCAGACTGATACATTTCAAATGACTCATGTAGATTCTTTCAGAGTGAAAGCTTATGCATTCTTCATTTAACTCCAATGTTTATGTTCTATGATGTACATATAGCTGATAAATAGGTGATTTTAAACAACAGAAAAAAAAAAGAAAACATTTCTCTAATGCCTTAACACTAAAAGTAGCTTGGTTTTTTCCTATTTTCATGATACAGGGTCTCACTCTATACAGAGGCTGGCTTGGAACTCAAAGAGATCCAACAGCTTTGCCTGGCATAAAAGTGTGCACTACTCTATCCAGCCTAACTTTTTAACATAAAGATTTTATGAAACTTTTGCTTGAAAAAGAAAAACAGAAGCATACCACTAAGATTTGAACTTACTTTGCAGTAGAAATAGGAAGTTGCTTTCCCTTCATGCTTTATGTCCACACTAATCCTGCCTGTAATCCATCATGGTCTGGAGATGAAAGCTCGACAAAATGAAGTGGTGTTTAGGTGATGAATGCTTCCTGGTCTGGCCGAACTACAATTCCCTCCTCCATCTTTCCCCCAAGGCAGTAGTTCTCAACCTGTCGGGTGTGGCCATTGGAAAACCATCTTTCCCATGGTCTTAGGAACTGAGACACTACTTAGCAGCAAAATTACAACTATGAAGTAGCAATGAAAATAATTTTATGATTGGGGGTCACCACGACATGAGGAACCAGATTAAAGGGTTATGCATTAGGAAGGTTGAGAACTATTGCCCTAAGGGGTTTCAGAAACTATTTAGAAACAATAAATGAAGATTAGAAATTTGTTTGTTGAGTAAGCTTAGATTTTGGTGAGGAGCATATGGTATTAGATGGTGCAAAAAGCTTAGTATTGTTCTATCTTACTTACTTGCTATTGGGTGAGCTTAGGAGCTCAGGGCTGCTAGACATGAACTTTACCACGAAAGCACCCCCCCATCTCTACCTTATCATAGGATTAATGTTGCATTTAATTTCCTATATTATGCCATAAATCTGCCAGCGGTCCAGTTCAGAGGTAGTTGTGTAATTTCTTTCTTCCTCACAGTGTTGTCTTTTGTTTTCCAGATTGGCCAGGTGAAACAGGAATTGTCCAGAAAGGACACAGAATTACTAGCCTTACAGACAAAGCTAGAAACTCTCACAAACCAATTCTCAGACAGTAAGCAACATATTGAGGTGCTGAAGGAGTCCCTCACTGCTAAGGAACAAAGGGCTGCCATCCTGCAGACTGAGGTAAAGAGTTTTATGAATTGTGTGGAATGCAGTTCATTCCTAGTTTCATCTGTATGTGTATCTATATGTGTGGTTTATTTATGGGTGTGTTCATGTCCATGTGTATATGCACATGTACATGCATGCCTGTGAGAAGGTCAGAAGATAACTCTTGGGAGTTTGTTGTCTCCTGACACCATAATCAAGTGTTCATACTAGCACTTGTACCCTGTGAATCATCTTGCCAGCTCTGATGGCATAGTTTTTTAAGAAGTTTCTGCTCTTTCATAGTTTTATTGGGCTGAATTTAAATATATTTAAGGAATTGCAAATATGAAATAGTTTAGAAAATATTGCCTTCAGTTCCTCATTTATTTTATTTTATTTTATTTTAATTATTATTATTATTATTTTTTTTTTTTTGGTTTTTCAAGACAGGGTTTCTCTATATAGCCCTGGCTGTCCTGGAACTCACTCTGTAGACCAGGCTGGCCTCGAACTCAGAAATCTGCCTGCCTTTGCCTCCCAAGTGCTGGGATTAAAGGCGTGCGCCACCACTGCCCAGCCAGTTCTTCGTTTATAAAGAAGGTTTTCATTTTGGTAACTTGAACATGCATTGCCACAAACAGTTCAAAACTTGGTGCCAGTGTCTTAAAGGTAAGCTTCACTTCCAATTTACTGCTGTTAGCCTGGGATACAAGCTGTTAATCAGTTGGTTGATGACAATGCAAACATTTCAAAGCTTGTCATGGTCTGATAAATAACATTTCTTCTCTGTCAATCCACTCTTTCTTTTGTATCCAGCTCGAATGATGTCTTATTAGCTGAGTCTTACACAGATGGGCTTGTGATTGGTTTCTTCTACCATGGGTTGTAAAGGCTATGTTATCACTCTCAAATGGTTGTATATTTGCCTCTGGGCAGGGTAGGAATAGCCGAGCCTCAGAGATTGATTTCCTCTGTAAATTACTAGGACAGTTGTTCAAATACAACCATCTCATCCTAACTGTTAAGGGTGTAAAAGTTAATTTCTTTTTGAATTTGGGGGATTTTAAGAATATAATGTGTTTATTTAATAGCATACACTTCCAAATAATTTCTCTAATAACATTTGAGAATAGTTTTTCCCTAGCATCTTTCTTTTGTTAGAGCCCAATAAAAGGATTGTACCAATTGTTTGAAAGCTGTTATTTTATATTTTACTTTTAATTGATTTTGTTCTTTTTATCGCAGCAGTTTGATCGGATCTGGAAACCAATGAGTTAAACACATGAAAAAGAACAGGGATCATGGAGCTTTTTTAAATTTTAAAGTTCCTCTCTGTGCTCATGTGTAATATGTATTCTTGTGGGTATGTTTGTGTGTGTGAATGTATGTGGAGGCCAGAGGCCAACTTGAGGTGTTGTTCCTCAGCTGCCATTTACATTGTCAATTTGAGACTATCTCACCTGCCCTAGTGCTTGCTGATGAGGTTAGGCTAACTGGCCAGCACGTCCTAGGGATCTTCTTAGCTCCATTTTTTTTCAGTGGATTACAAATGCATTTTGGGATTTAATTCAGATCCTTACGCTTTCACAAACATCATTACTGAGTGAGTTATCTCTCAGCTCCTTAATTAAAAATTCTTTCTGGATAACATTGATCTGGGGAAAGGTCTGTTTGGTATCCCCTTGTCCTATCTTTTGATAATCTACAGTGAGGAACTTCCTTTGTCTAACTTGTACAATATTTGAAATTGCTTCTGTTCTATAAATTTCTCTTTTAATCTGTTGACCTTTGCAGAGGTGATCAAACTTTGGTAGAAATAATAGTTGAAAGTAGAGATTTAGCGGCACAAGTTTAAGCCTGTCAGTAATCCCATTGAAGATTCGGATGGAGCCCATGAAGTTCTCCTGCTAACTGAGGAGCTATTGAGAGCTGTTGGGAAGGGGTGTGCCTCCTGGGAGGTTGCTTATGCTCATACAGACTGTACTAATTGGACTCAATAGCTTATTAAAAAAATAAAGAAGAGACTGTGAATGAGTGAGGGCTACATGCTCAGAAGGAGTATGAAAGGGAAGTTGGATTGATATGCTCAAGATGCATTATGTATATTTGTGAAATTATAAAATAATTTAAAAAGTACTTTAAGCATAGAGGTTTGAGGTAAGACCTAGAATTGATGCTAACCCTGTGTAAATTATTGTGTGACTGTATCTGAGTTGTTTTTTTAATACATTTTAAGCCTCTGTCTTCTCATTAGTAAAGTAAGGATAATGATACTACTAACACATTGAGTTATTTTGGCTAGAGTAGACATGTTATTACGAATTTCTCTTCTGAACGTGCAAAGACCCCTAAATTTGCAGGTTAAAGATACTTTACAATAACTGATCTTTTGCAACACCTTGTTTGTTTGTTTGTTTATGTATGTTTTTTAAGACAGGGTCTCTTTGTGTAGCCTTGGCTGTTCTGGGGCTGGCTAGCCTCAAACTTGTAGAGATCTGCCTGCCTCTGCCTCCTATGTGCTGGGATCGAAGGCATGCACCACTACCACCTGGTCTACTTTTTATTTTATTAGCTAAAGTAGATGTTTTATTATGTATTTTTCTCCTGAACATGCAAGAACCCTTAAATTTTTATGCTAAAAATACTTTACAAACCTGGTCTTTTATAACACTTTTTTATTTTATTTTATTTTGAAACAGGATCTCTCTATGTAGCCCTAGTTATTCTAGACCTCTCTATGTAGATCAGGCTAGCCTCAAATTCACAGGGATCCATCTGTGTCTGCCTCCCGAGTGCTGAAATTAACAGTGTGTGCCACTCTGTCTGGCTTATAAGACTTTTATTTGATATCAGTTGTTTTATTTGCTCCTGCATTAGTTGCTTTAGTTTCACTCTGGCCCTAGCACCTAACAAAAAATGTAATCGAGGACAGATTTATTTTAGCTCATGGGTTTGAAGAGTTTCAGTTTATTCTGATGGGGAAAGTACAGTGGGACAGTTGAGTTCATGGTGGTTTGAGCATGTATTAGACAAGCTGGAGAGTGCAAAGAAACACAGGCTCCCATATGATCTTCAAAGGCCCATCTATATAGTACCCTACTTCTACTAGCTAGGGCTCACCTCTTAAAGGTTCTAAACCCAAAATTCTCCTACCAGCTTGGGATGTGGGTTAGCCATTTCAGACTTAAACCATAACATTCTACTCCTATCCTTTATACCTCCACCCCCAAAGCTTTTGGCCATCTCATAATACAAAATACATTTAGTTTAAACTCAAGAGCCTCATAGTCTTAACAGTTCCAGGATTGTCCAAAAGTCTCTACTGAGACTCAAAGCAATCTCTTAGTTGTTACATCGGCTAAGAGCCCTTGAAATATCAAAAGGAGAGGTTTATAAACCAGGTGTGGTGGTTGTATGTAGCACTAGTCTTAGTTCTTGAATGAATGGGCATTAGGACTGCCAGGAGTTCAAGGTCAGTTTATCAGAGTGAGACTCAGAAAAATGAAGAAAAGCCATGATCATGTGGGCACCAGAATTCTAAGGTGGAATCATTCCTACCATTGACGGAAAAGAAACTGAAGGATGTTGAGCTGGGAAAGCTGCCAAACTGGATGCTGATGTGGGATTTTACTTGCAAAGGCTTAGAGTATTTCAGAGAGATTATGACTAGCATCACAACATACACATTAACATGAGGAAAGGGATAATCAATGGGCCAGTGTGGTACTAGCAGCCAAGGCTCTTTTCAGCTCTTGCATTTTTTATAAGGTACTCAAACATGAATGATAACACAAGTGCCACTGAAGAGGTGCCAGTACTAGGGGGAGGTGAGTACTCTCTATTTCCAAACTTGACTGCCTGACCAACTCCCATCTGAAGAATTCAGTTAAAATTAAAATTTTCATATCCTGATCGAGAACTCGGGTTCTCCAATAAATGGAGACAGGTCCATGTAAAACAAAAATCCAAACAAATAAAGTTATATACTTCTACTATTCAGTGGCCCTTAGTAAGCATTCTCGTTTTAAAATGGAGGAATGGGGACATAAGAAAGAGGGATATGACCAAAAATGAGACCCAAACCCAGGGAGGCAAATAGTAAATCTTATAGCTCCATACCCAACATTTGGAGCACGTGGTGATAGGTTCTGAGCCCAAGTTGTCCTGGAGATGACAGCTTTGCATACCCACACATGTCCTCTCTCTAGGTCTGCCTCCAGCTGGTGCATATATCTCACTCAACAGATGGCTCACTGTTCCAATGTCCTCACATGTCCACTGCAGTTCCGTTTACTTTCAGAGTGTCTTCATTATTCTGCCATAGCTCTCTGAAGAGACTCACAGCCTGCTATACATTTCCTGACTTTCCTGGCTTTTCTCCTAAAATTTGGGCGGGAGCCTCCATGACTCTTGTATATTGCATGCCTGCAAAACAAATACCATGTAGTTAATACCAGATTCTGCTGCTGGCTAAAGCAGTAGTCAGATCCCACTAGATTATAGCTTCAGTGTCCTTTGAGTGCATCGGTAGCTAGGGTACTTCCTTAGGTAGCTCAGTACAAATGAAGTACCGCAGATACATGATGTTTTAAAAGAAGGTGTTCAAAATAAGTTTTTATGTTATGTTCTGGAGCCTTTGATGGGTGTGGTCTTGACAGGTTTTGAAACACCTTTGTGATAGCAGCATTACTGTCCTGCTGCGTATCACTTGCTTCTCTTTAACAACTAACTCCTAACTCTGCTTTTCTGCTCAGACTGCACATTTTTCACAGTTTCTGCTCTGCTTTTTTTTTTTTTTTTCTTACTGTAAACCTGACTTAAAAACAGCCTAAATTCCTAAAGATAAATTACTGTCTTGGTTTTGAATTTGGACTCCATCAAAATTTCAGCACCCTGGCAGAGTGTAGACAAAGTCTTTGCAGGAGTGTAGCACCAGTGTCCTGTAGTCCAGTTCTCTAGTATGGTGATTCGAATGGACAGTGTCCTCTATAAGCTCATGTGTTTGAGCCCTTGGTCCACATTTTGTGATGCTG